ACCGAAAGCACACTTGTCTGGGTTTAACTTTAGGTTGTGTTTTCGCAAAACTTCAAATACAAGATTTAAATCAGAAACTAATTCTTTTGAAAATAGAGTTTTTACAACCATTTCGTCAACATAGAACTCAACTTTATTGCCAATTAACTTTGAGAAAACAAAATTCACTAATCGCTGGTAGGTCGCTCCAACATTTTTTAAACCGAATGGCATGATCATGTGACAATACAGGCCTGTCTCGGTGGTAAATGCATTCTTCTTTCGATCTTCAGGGTCCATCAAGATCTGGTTGTAGCCCGAATAGGCATCCATAAAGTTGAGCAGTTCGAATCCTGAGGTTGCATCTACCAAGCGATCTATGCTGGGTAGGGGGAAGCTGTCTTTTGGGTAGGCACGGTTTATGTCCGTAAAATCTATACACATCCGCCACTTCCCATTTGCTTTTTTCACTAAGACTGGGTTCACCACCCAGCTTGGGTATTGGACTTCCTCTATGAAGTTCGCAGCTAGCAACTTCCCCACTTCTTCATTTACTACGTTCCACCTTTCCGGGGCAAGGTTTCTCTTCCTTTGCCAGATTGGTCTGACTGTAGGGTCCACATTAAGTTTATGAGTTATTAGATTGGGGTCTTTACCAAGCATTTCAGCAGCTGACCAGGTGAAAACATCTAGATTTTTTAATAAAAAGCTTACCAATTCAGATCGCAGAGGATCTTTCAGGTGGACTCCTATCCGTAGTACTTTCTCAGGGTCAGTTTTGGAGACTTGCACTGCTACTGTATCCTCGGTCGAGCGAGCTTTTTCTTCAGTGTTTTTTGGTGGAGGATCTAGGTCAATGTCAACTATCATTTTACCTTTGGCTTTCAGCGAGGCCACGTAGCATTTCCGAGACTCTAGTTGATCATCGCGTAGCACTCCCACCCCTATGTCCGTTGGAAATTTCAGTGCTAGGTGGTAGGTGGGTACCACAGCTCGCAATGCATGTAGAATCGGTCTTCCCAAGATCGCATTGTAAGGCGATGAAGCCACTACTACTAGAAAATCATGTTTCAGGCAAGCTGGGGGGGAGCCTGCTTCAATCGGTAGCCTGATCTTGCCAATCGGGCGACTACTTCCCCGCTGAATCCTACCAACGGTATATCAGCGGGTTGTAGGTCAGTTTTACTCAGCTCCATTCTTTTGAAGGCTTTGGCGAACAAGATGTTAGCTGAACTACCTGAATCTACCAAAATTCTTTTTACCTAGAAATCATTGATGAGCAATTTTACCACCAAAGCATCATCATGAGGGTATTGGATTCCTCGCATGTCATCTTCAGTGAAATAAATGACTTCTTCTATTCGGGGGTGTTTGTGTGGCTGGTTATCTTCCTGTTCTAGTTCGCGTATTGTGTTCCTCCAAGCAGATGAGGTGCATCCTGCTATAATCGAGCCTCCTGTGATCACGTTGATAGTTCCTCTAACCTGTCTCTCTGGTGCTTGTTGGTTTTTGGCAAGTGGTTCCTACTGCCTGTTGCTCTGTGGTGCTTCCCTATTAGCTTCCACTTCTTGAGTCCGCTCATCCTTGATGAAACGTTTCAAGTAACCTTGCTTAATGAGGTCCTCGATTTCATTCTTCAAGTTCCAACAATTCTCAGTATCATGTCTGAAGTCCCTATGGAAATGGCAGTACTTGTTCGGGTTCTAGTGCTGGGGTCCCCCCTCATCTTGGGAGGCCATTTCACATAATCATTAGATTGAATATGCATGAGAATCTCCTTTCTGCGAGTGTTCAATGATGTAAATACCCTGGTGTATGCGAGTGGTGTTCCCAGTCGTCGCCTTGCTCTTCTGTTTGGCGATCTGCTTTTTCGGCGTGGTGAGCTGCTACGCCTTCTCCTTGGGGATCTACTTTTATGAGGTGACCTGCTCTTTCGCCTAGTTCGACTTGTGCTTGCCTCTTCATCTGTCCGCTTCCTTTTTCCTACCTGCTCCTACTGCTTCTTCCGCCCTTATGAATTCATGGGCAATTGTGAGGAACCTTTCCATGGTAGCGGGAGGGTGGAGTTCTAGTTCCCGTTTTAGCTTGCGATGCTTGACGCCCTTTTTGGCTGCTATCAACTGAGTAGAAATCTGCTGAATTAGAAAATATGAAAGAAAGTAGTTTCTTGAAGAGAGAAGGAGAAGAAGAGAAGAAGAGACGTTGAAAGAAAAGAGAGCAATAATCTGGCCGCCCCCTTCACTTATTATTTATACTAAAATAATAGAATAGTACAAAGACAACTATGCCCTTATAGGGCGGCAAAACATAAAACAGCATATACAACACTCAAAAAACATAATAAAATTTGGACTCACATAACTACTGTGGTCCCCACCTCCTATCTAACAACTAACATAAAACATCATAAAACTAATTAATCTTCAACAAACTGTACAAAGGGATCTAAATTAGGTATCTACAACCGTTCCATGTTGAAGCGCCGGATGTATTCTCTAAGTGGTTCATTGGGCTTCTAGACTATGTTAAACAGGCACGTAGCTGATTTTGAATGCAGCGTGCTTGTGATAAATTGGTTGATGAAGAGTCAGACAAACTGGTTCCAGTTTTTTATGGATCCTGGGGCTAGTCCCGAATACCATACCCAGGCTTCTTCTTTTAAGGTAGTGGGGAACACTATACACATACTAGCGTCATTTGCTCCGTAAAGGAGCATTAGAGCTTGAAAGCTGTTAGCATGTTCTACCGGGTCTGATTTCCCTCGGTAGGATTCCAAGGTGGGTGCCTGGAAGTTTTTAGGGCATGGAGCTCCAAGAATTTCTGGTGCGAGAGGGGTTTCCCTAGTCAAGCTGGATTGTTCTGATAAGGTAATTATTCTTCCTGTTGCCGTGCTACCTTCTCCTAGACGAGCCTTGCCCCCCGCTCGAGCGTGCTGTATCTTTCTTCCTGCGCGGTGTGTTCTTTTCTTTTTTCTGGTGCCTTGCGGAGCAAGCTGCATTAGATTCAGCAGGGGCCTCCACCTGACTCTCTTCTGGTCATTGCTCATTCGGGGTTGTAGTATCTTCTCTGGTTGGTGCATGGATTTGGCTACACACTCGCGATTGGGGTAAACCTTATTGATTCAAATTGGATTGTGGGGGTTGTTGGTTGTTATGAGGCTGACTGTCCTTTGGTGCTGGTTGTCTGGACATCACCGGATGCTGTGGTTGACACCGCTGCTGAGGTTGCTGGTGAAGTTGTTGAGACTGCTGATGAAGCTGCTACTGAGACTGCTGTTGGTGTGGCTGTTGTGGCTGCTGCTGGGACGATTGCTACTGTTGTCCAGTGATAAACACAAACCTGTTCTCTCACGACCGCATTTGTTCAGTCATGGTATTGACACACCGTACTAGGTCATTAAATTGTCACGCATCCACTGTCGTGGGGGGTGCTGCTGGTTCCATAGATGGGGGGGGGGGCATATTCACATTTTCCACTTGTGGAAGGGGAACATCGATTTGGCCAATGGTGATGGTTGGGATCTGGCTGTTGATGTTATTGGTGGAAGGATTTTCTGAAGATGCCATTAAAAGGTTTTTTTTTGAGTAAAATTTGAGATAAAGAGATGAATGAAAGGGAACACAGGCTTTTGCTGCGTTTTCCACAGATGAAGCACAAAATATGCCCACCAATAGATGAAGCACAAAATCTATTCACTCCCTTGTGTCTGATGAGGTGGCTCAGACCGGGTTTAATCTGCAGTGAGCCGAGCTGAGGGTCCGAGCTGGGATCTGCTGAAACGAAAGAGAGGTTAGAGTGCTTGGGTAAATTTTACCCAGTAAGACACTCCGATGCTTAAGTCAGTAAGTAGTTCAATCAGAGAAATTGGGAGAGAGTGAGAGCTTATGTGTGCATACCCTTTTGAAGTGGTCCTGAGGTCTTTTTATAGCCGTCTGAGGTTCAGGTGCTGCTGGGTAACATCTTGGAGCCTTGTACGGAGCTATTTCCTAAATTCTGGGGTGTACTGGTCTGTTGATTGCTAGATCCGTGCGGCGGTTACAGGTTGTTTGCTGGTCTTGAGGCGGTCAACTCGGTGGACCGCTCCCTGTGCTGCGGTTACAGTGCTTACGTGGGCGTTGCCTTCGGGACTGTTTTGGGCGAGTAGGGGCTGTCGGAGGATTGAGCTCACCCTAGCTTGGCCGCGTACCAGATACTGACTGCCACATGTTACTTTGGCGAGCTGCTCTGCTATGCTGGACACTGTGGGCTGAGCTTGCTCTAGCTTGGCCGCGTACCTGATACTGGCTGCCACGTGTTAAGCTGGCGAGCTGTCTTGTTGAGTGGGACGCTGTGTTGTTGACAGCGTCCACGTGTCCGCCGTCAATTAGGTTGACCAAAATGCCCCTCATCAATTTGTTTTGCCACTCTGATTCTTTCAAGTAAAGCTAATACCTCTACCCTTATGGAGTCTCCAACACCTGTTGGGCCTGAAAACACTGCCCTAACACCTCCATTTTCATCTCAAAAGACACCACCTACTCTGGAGGGTCATGGGTTACCCATACTACTACCATCAAAGTTGAACTTTATTACTCTACCATTGGATGGTTGCCACTGTTGTTGCACTACCACTTTCTTGGAGGATGAGCCTGCCACTTCCCCACATTTATGCATAGTATCATCAGTAGAGAAGGGTGAAAATAGGCTCAATGACTTCATCCAATGTGCTACCCTTATTGTGATGGTCTCAATAATGGCTTCTTCACTTCTTGCTAGAACTTTGTATATTCTAGCATTTCTTTTTAAGTATAGGCACCCCCAATATGTTCCATTTAAAACACTGGTTAAGAAAGATTTCAAATGAATAATAGTGGTAAATAACATCTATCCTTGTAGCAGAAAACTCATCACAGTCTTAGTAAGAAATATATTTCTACAATTCATACAACAATCCTAGGGAGATACAAAATACAATAATCTGAATATTAAATGTAGTAAATCAGGTTACTGGAAATTCACTGAACACTCGAGTGATTACATACCAACCGATGGGTTTCTTCTGGTTTAGGGCTAAACTCTTCTCTCCCCCTGACTAAATCCATGTACAAAGGAGGAAGTTGTTCAACCAAGGGAAAAACCTGCTTCATAATTGGAGGGCTAAGGTTTTCGAGTTGCTTCATAGCCATTTCTGCCTGGAAACATTTCATGAAGGAATGGCATATTCATCAGTTAAAAAATTGTTGTAATAAACCTACTACACAGAAAATAGATACTATAGAGTATAGACCTAGGAAATATTAAAGCATTTTCTTTGAGACTAAACAATCTCTACCTTGTTCAGTCATGCTCTGTCTGGGACACACAAAACAAAATAATTCTTTTACAGTGACCAGCAATAGGGGAAAACAGGTAATATTAAATGGCTAAATGAAGAATGGTAGGCAAGAATCTGATCAAATACTGGGGAAATTTCACTATTGCAGGCATTTGAGATTATCTTATAGCAGAATAAAAGAGTTAACTTAAATGTTAAGTATGTTATGCTCAAGTACCTGAGGTAAATATATGCTTCTAGCATACAAAAATTTGAATACAAGTTCCAGTGGTTTTTTAATAAAAACGGGTTAAAATTAGTCATGGCCAAGTCTATCTGGATTGGCTACACGATATTTTCATGCAAAGTTTCTTTTACTATCTTCTTGCAAAGCATGGATGCTGATGATGTATTGTAATAGACAAAAAGTACATACATAAAACAACATACTTCAGATAGCAAAGTAATATCAGATAAAATTACTCCAAAGTAGAAAGGACAACCACTCCAACATAAGAAGGCAACTTTCTCACCCCAAGGCGGACTGTTGGTGATGATGTAAACTGAGAAAGAAGTGGACCAAAGCTTTGAGCCATTGGAATAATGACAGGTGAAAACAATGGGATAGCTAAGCTTGCCTCCTGCAAAATTAATTAGTTGAGAAATGCATCAATTGATCTCTCAAAATTTTATAGATTCAGTGATAGTCGGATAGGCATTTCAGTATTAAGAAACAAACACAGACCATCCATCATATTACACAGTTGTCTAATAGACTGTTTTTCCTTTCGTTTTGTGTGTATGTGTGTGTGTGTGTGGGGGGGGGGGGAGAGAGAGAGAGAGAGAGAGAGAGAGGATGAAGAGGATATTACCAGTCTAAGATCTCTATCAAAATTACATCCCTAGTTGCACTATAACCAGTACGGTTGTCTTTGAAGTTCCATTTTTTTTTGTGGGGGGGGGGGGGGGGTTAATTCTTGCACAAAGGAAAAGAATACAAAAATACTATATCTAATTCTTGTGTAAAAAAAGAATCTAAACGAAACAAGTACAACAAGAACCATAAAAATTAAGGGTGAAGAAATAAATACAGCCTACTGATGACGTTGTACTGTCATTTGCTAGACCATATACTTGTTTATATTTCTTTCTTTTTTTTTTGGAGGAGGAATATTATTTTTTGAACAAAGGAAAGGAATAAATAGATACTATATTAATGTTTCTTTTGTAAAGAAAATCTTTAAAAAAATAAGTACAAAATGAAGCCATATAGTATGGTGATGATGCACTTTTTGGCAGCTCCTGGCTGATAGGTAACTCGGATGCCTAGCTGAGCAATCCCTACCTGGATGGTGGCTCTGACAGCTAGCTGAATGGTGATGAGCTGGAAGGTGGCTCTGACGCCTAGTTGTATGGAGACGAGCAGGAAGGTGGCTCTGACGCCTAGCTGAATGAGACGAGCTGGAAAGTGGCTCTGACGCCCAGCTGAACTGTCCCTAGCTAAAGGTGGCTCGGACGCCTAGCTGAACTTTCTAGCTGAAGGTGGCGAACTGCATAGTTTACTGGTCCGACCTGCAAGGAATCAATGTCACAGTGCCCTGGTTGCTTTACCCAGGGTGGGCACTCCGATGCTTAAGTCAGCGAATAAGAGATTTTTAAGATTGCTAAATGTGAGAGAGCTGGAGAGCTGCAAGAACTAAATTGCGCATGTACTCTCTGAGGTTGGAGGTAAGGCCTTTATATAGGCATTGTTTGACGTGGGCATCACGCATCGCGTCCGAGATCTCCGGGAAGATGTGCCTAACTGGTCCAAAGTCCTCAGAGGTAGTCGTGCATGTAGACTAGTCTTTGCGCCTTATTCGGTTTCTTCCAGAACATTTGGTGTGAGAGCTGACTTCCGAGAGACCTGGGAGTAACGGGATGCATGCAAAATAGGTCAGCGAGCACGTCTTGCAGGACGCCACCTGGACCTCAATCAGGTCGGCAAGCCTTTGAGGGAGGTTGCTCCTCATGTCGAGGTCACTTTGACCGGTACTGATGAGGTACCACAGGTCGGCTCTGGACGAGGTGCTGCTAGCGACCTTGAGTTGTGGACGAGGTCGCTAGCTAGATTTCCACCAAGTCGGCGGCAGAGGCAGGTCGCTAGGTCGGTGACGGAGGTAGGTCACTAGGTCGGCAACAGAGGCAGGTCGCCAAGTTGGTGGCGAAGGCAAGTTGCCAGGTCAACGACAGAGGTAGGTCGCTAGGTTGGCAACAAAGGCAGGTCGCCAGGTCGGAAGGGGAGGCAGGTCGGTGGCGGAGGCAGGTCGCCAGGTTGGCGGCAGAGGCAGGTTGCCAGGTCACCAGGTCGGCGGCGGAGGCAGGTCACCAGGTCGCTAGCTGGGACTTCATCATTTTGGCCAAGGCAAGTTGTCACCTAGGTGATGCTGGGATGTCATTCAACTGTTCTGAGATGCCATGTGTCATGATGTCAGTAGAGGGCCAAATCTGCCCTCATCAATTGCCCCCTACTCCGTAGCTGAGGTTAGCTCAGCGAAGGGAGTAGCTTTATTGTAGGTCCTTTGGCCTGTTACCAACATATTTCAAGGTCAACTTAGGGGTCCTTGATGTTGAAAGCGGTTTGGCTTCCCCTTGTAATATGTGTGTCATTGTTTAAATAGCGGGTCGGTGTCACGTCTGCACTGTCATTCCTCAGAGGTGTTGGTCGTCTACTCCTACGATAAGCCACAGGGTTCTCAACCTGCGGGGGCAGCTCTACTAATTGCAAGTTGCCAACTCGCACGGGAACCTTGAAAGGCTCAACCCGCAAGGGCAACTACAGTCTGTTGGCTGCCGACTCCCGTGGGAGCTGCAAAGGGCTTGATCTCTAGGGGCGACCTCGCGAACAAGGCTGACAAGGCTCGTCTGTGCTGATTACGTGTCGTCAGGTCGGCAGAGGTTGGTTGCCATGTTGGCGGTAGAGGCAGATTTTCAGGTCGTTGGAAGTAGGTCGCCAGGTCGGCGGAAGTAGGTTGCCAGGTCGGCAGAAGTAGGTCGCCAGGTCGGCGGAGGCAGGTCTCCAGGTCGCCAGTTCGGCGGAATTTTGACAGTCTAGTTTTGCTCTCAGCACCGCAGCCTACAAACACCTCGTCTCTTCGAAAGGATTGACCTGCGAGGGTGGCTCCACAACCTATTGGCCATAAACTCCCATGTAGAGCATGGAGGGCTCGATCTACGGCGCGACCTCACAATTTGTTGGCTATCAACTCCCACGGGAACCATAGAGGGCTCGACTTGCGGGGTGACCTCACATTCTGTTCGGGCAAGATTGCGAGAACTCGTCTGGGCTAATCATTTTGATTTTGCCCCCCTAGGGGATTCTTTCGATTAAGTGCCGTTGTTGTTTCTTGAAGATGCTATTACTTGAGGCTTAGAGAATTGGGTGAGAACTTAGCCTTTTGTAGCGTTTCCCACAAACGACGCTAATTGATGATGCACTTTTTGGCAGCTCCCGACTGACAGGTAACTCGGATGCCTAGCTGAGCAATCCCTACCTGGAAGGTGGCTCTGACGCCTAGCTGAATGGTGATGAGCTGGAAGGTGGCTCTGACACCCAATTGTATGGTGATGAGTTGCAAAGTGGCTCTGACACCTAGCTGAATGGTGATGAGCTAGAAGGTGGCTCTGTTGCCTAGTTGAACTATCCCTAGAAGAAGGCGGCTCGGACGCCTAGCTGAACTGTCTCTAGATGAAGGTGGCGAGCTGCATAGTTTACTAGTGAGACCTGCAAGGAAACAGTGTCACAGTGCCCAGGTTGCTTTACCCGGGGTGGGCACTTCGATGCTTAAGCCAGCGAATCAGAGATTTTTAAGATTGCTAAATGTGAGAGAGTTGGAGAGCTGCAAGAACTAAATTGTGCATGTACCTTCTGGGTAGGAGGTAAGGCCTTTATATAGGCATTGTTTGGCATGGGTTAGTCCAAACAACCTTGTGCAAATTTGGAGGTAAGGCCTCTATTTTGAACGAGATGCATGCAGAACCACTTAAGGCGCAAAGATTGGCCTACGTGCATTAGTCCAAACAACCTTCATAAATCCAAAACTGGTCATATCTTGGACAAGGCATTGTAACTCAACAACTTGGAGTTATAGACATGCCTTCAAGGAGATAGACTATGTAGCAAAGGAACTCAATATCACCTCCAGCTAGATTAAAAGAAGTGCAAATGACTTGGAAGATGTACTGGCAAAACAAGGGGTGGATATAACCCATTTGCTTTGGGCAAAAATCTAAACTCTTATATTTGGGGTTTAGTTTGAATGGTGCAACAACAGTACTAAAATTTAACTCCAAATTTAATTAATGAATATCCTTTGCTGATAAAAGAACAAGTGTTTTTTTAACTAAAATTAACTTATATAATATATCAAATTTACCCCTCTAGACATAAATCATAACAAAAAAATACAAGAAAACCACAAGATCTTTATATATTATTAATTACATAATCGGTTCGGGTCTTAATCAGTTTGGAATAGAAAAATTGCTCGCAAACAAATTATAATTGGGAAACAAAACTTAGAACTAGAACCAGTATAATCAATTCGGTTCGGTCCTATTGGGTAGATCCAACCCATTGACAACTCTAACAACCATCTGCCTCTTACTCTCCCACATAACTAAATTTCCACCTAGTAAGATGTAATAGCCAGTTATGGATTCTGTAGAGAGGATGGGCCGAATGGTCCATAGGCTATTTATTCTTTCTTACCTTTTATATTCCTTTCTGTAATGGGCCTTATTCTGGGCCCATCCTTTCTATGTTATGTTCTTTTAATTTCTTGCCCAACTAAGGGCCTCCTTGTAATTATTCAAGTTTAACTTAATAAAATAGTGTTAAGGTGTAGGAGAAGAGAGTAAGGTTCGAAACTCTCATTCTCTGAACCCTTATTGCCGCCCTCTTCTTCTTCACCTTCTACTCCATAGAAGAAGCATTTTCTGCTGTTCCTTTTTGATTTCTGCATCTATTCTAAACAGTCCCCCCATTCCTAACCACTCTCATGTGGGTGTAGTCCAGCCGATTACATGAGAGTGTTCTAGGGTTGGAAGCTTCAGCTTGTGTCGCCTGATTCTTGGAGGTCATTGGAGATTGAAGAAAGTGCCCAAGATTCAAATCTCTTGGAGAGTGGTTCGGTGACCAGGAAGAATTAGAGAAAACAGGTCGGTTTCTGAATTGGAGCTTAAGTCAGAGATTGTAAGTTGTGCTCAGTTATTTCTGGGTTATTGTTTTTGTTCTAGACTGTTGAAGTGTCTGAAGGTTCTTTGAAAACTGTACAGCTATTCGGCTGTTTTTAATCTGGTTTAACCCAGAGATTTCTGGGTTGTTTTCATTCCTTTTCTGGACTGTCAAGTTGCCGAAATACCTTTAGATTCAGTGCTGCGGGTTGTTGCTTCCTTGAGTTGTTTTTTGGGCACCTGTACAGACTGTCCCTGAGCTGTTTTTCACCTTTGACAGTGGGGTCTTCTCTGCTGCCCACATTGTGTTTGTAAAAAGGCCTCTTCATCAATATGGACTGTTCTTTGCTCTTTTTGGGGTACTTTTTGGTAAGTACCTGGAATTTCTGTTTAGAAAAGGAGCTTGGACTGGGTGCACAGTATTTGG